CTGGCTATCTCCTTCTTCTCCCTCTCCCCTTCCTTACAGACAACCCTTCTCCTTTCCACCTTTACAACTACTGATATTTTATACAATGGACTTGGGGATTTGATCCCTCGCTTTCAGCTTGGTTGGAGGAGGCCTTAGCAGACTAGGAGATGGATAGACACCATTATCCACCCATCACTCTGATCTCCATCAGGGGTTCCCTTGTCAGCCGGATCCAACTGCCTAGACCCACTCTATTCACATGACCCGGATTTCTCAAAATTGGGGTAGAAGAGAAGGCGAGGGGTGGAGAATCGAGTGTGCAACCTTGCACCGTGTTAATTGTTTTCTTTCCTCTCAATTACATTCATAAACCTATTTTCTGCATTGCATGTTATTTCTTTGTGCTTCAAAATTGAAACCACGTGCAGCCTTCTTCCCTCCGCACACACAATAAATGCGCTGCCCCCTCCCCCAACCCATCACACAACTATTTACATCTTGGTTACTCACTCTGCGCTCCGGCCCAGCCTGGGAGAAGAAATTGGCCCCATGGGATTAGGTGAGGCTTTGTAAAAGCATCTCTCAAATCCGTATCTCGGGCCCCCATCTGGGAGAGAGGCTCCTGGACTCCCCTCCCGGGCCTCCTCCCACCCCCTCCTCACACAGGTGGTTGTGGCTTCCTCTGGGAGAGCTAGCAGGGAGGACATCCAGGGAGAAAGGCAGCTTCGCAGTGTCCCGCCAGGCCCACCCGCTGCCCGCCCCTCACCTTGGCCTTCTCGGGCCGCCTGCAAGGGGTCAGCGGTGGCCCTGAGCGCGCCTCTGCTGCCCCCTGGTCCATGCGCCCTGGGCACAGCAGAAAGCCCCGCAGGGACCGGCTGCTCCCTGGGGAGCGTTCTAGACCCAGGTCCTCCCAGGCAAAGAAGTCCCACCAAAAATAAATAAATAAACTCCAAAGGGGGGAGGGGGAGCTGGAAAATGGATTCGCTGACAAGGAGAGATAATAAATGAGAGGCGCTTTCAGATAGATATCTCAGACGTGAAATTGCGCCCAGCTGGTTGTGTAAGCAAACAAATAGTTTCATGTTAGGAACTCTCAACTTGTGGCTTGATGAATAGAACACGACAGAGGTAAATGGGTCTTTAACTCATTTAGGAATACAACTCTTTGGCTTTCCAAGTAAAAGGCCCAGTGACGCCTCGGATCCTGAGCAGGCCCTCTAACAAGAGTTTTATTAGTTTCCACTTGCGTCTCCCTGCCTACCCTCCCCTTCATGGTTTTCCTTCATGGTTTTCCATTTGCAGAGACATTCGGGTGGTTTGTTCTGGAGACTCGAGTAGCTTACCGGAGGTGATTCTGGCACTGGAGGAGATATAAGGACTGCCTATGAGCGGAGGAGGAGGATTTTTTTTAAAAAAATAAACTTTTTGCATTCTCTAAGCAGACGAGCTCAGGTGGGCTTGGATCTAAGAGGCTCCATAGCCCTAGTGCCCCTGACCTCAAAGCTGGGCGATGGGGCCTTGGGAAGCCCACCCAGACCCTTTGCAGCAGCCAGAGACCATGAGGCTGAACCAACGTAAGGGGCAGAGTCCCGGAAGCCCAGGGTTGTTCTGGCGGCCGGCGGCACACCCATCCCCAGCCCCGGGGCTTCCCCCCAGGCCTGGTCGCGGTTTGGGGTGTGCCTGTGGGGGCAGAGGCCACATTTTAACTCCCTTAGGCCACTCTTTGTCCCCTGGCTGCAGATGAGGTGCAGCCTTGTGCCCTAGAAATTCCCAGAGGAGAGCACGTCCTAAGATGGCTTTTTTGATGTTTTCAGAAAAGCTTGTGGCTAAAGTAGTTTAAACTGACTTCAAAGCCCCTAAAGTTCTCAGTCGCCCAGCAAGTGTTTGGGTTAGAAAGGGGAGCGTTGGCTTTCATATGTCACAGGTAATTTTGAGAAGGAAGTCACCTTGTGTGGGCTGCTCTCCAACAGTTATGATGTATTTCCTCCAGGCTTGGGGACCCTGTCAGTTCTATCCTACCCAGTTACCCCAATCCTATTCTCCCAACTCCTTAGGGATGCTACGCCTCCGCAGGCCAAGGCGGGGCTGCGCGCTCCAAGGTGACCATCCAGCCTACACCTGCCTTCGGCCTCACACCCAAGTTCCACGGCTCCCCCTGGCGCTTGGCTCGAAAGCCGGCTCATTACTCAGGGGCCTCTGGGCGGCCACCCAGGCAGGCGAGAGTCCCACCCACTCCATGTCGCCTTCTGTCCAGTGGCTTCCAGGGTCCGAGGGCATGCAGGGCACTGGACAGGGGCAGCCCAGCCACTACTGGGGCTGCCCTTCTGCACAGCAAGGAGGCCGTGCGACTGCTCGCGGGCCCTTAGCTCTTGGGCCGCGGACACCGGGCAGTCCGGCCGGGGAGCCTTGAGAATGCTCAGGGAGCAGAGAGGGCGCTTCCTGGCTGTTGGAAGGCTTAACCCGTGGCTTAAATAGTGCAGTCTCGGCTCCTCAACCTCCCGTTAGCATGAGCAGATTTGTGGGTCCGACCTCGCTCTCTGAGAGTGAAAAGCCACGGAACTCAGGCAGCCTGTCTCGCGCCCCAAGGAGCACCCACAGAGCCGCTGAGTCTCTAGGGAGGCTATGTCTCTCTGCTTGAGACACATAGAGACCTCTGAAGATGAGTGTAATGCTACCAAGGAGACTGCACAGGAGAAACCCACTGCCTGCCGCCCCCAGCCAGGTCCGCTGAGCATGGGAGCAGACCACCTTTTCCTTCTCTGTTCCGCTCAGCACCTCGGCCTCCTGGTTCCCTCACGGAGCCTGCAAGGGAGTCCGTGAAGCCATATAGAGGAAGGCCTGCTCTTCTTCCCACGCTGGGCTGCTCAGCTCCGGGCTTAGGCCTAGGCTTAGAAAGGTCGCAGGATTCCTCAGGCCATGGGCAATGCTCCCAGCCCAGTCCCGCAAGAGACAAGTTACCACTGTCACCTCTAGACCCAGGAGCAAGTGCCTTAGACATCCCAGGCCTTGACTTCCGGAAGGGTCCCCGCACTGGGCACCTTGTGCTTGGGCCTCCATATTGAAATTAATTGAAAAATACGTTTCCGACCTACAAAAATGTTTATCTGTTTTCATCAGAGGGATCACACTGTAATGAATATATTTACATCTCATTTCAAGAAAGGCAGCAAAGATCGGTGAGCGCTTGGAGCCAGCTCGTCTCCCCTCCCCCTCAGCGCCAGGCTGCAGCCTACCCCACCCCAAGCCCCACATTCCCTGATCCCGCAGCCCTAGAGGGCTCTCTGAGACTTTCTGGGAGGCGGTCGGGAGTTAAATATGATCTCTTCCCTTGCCCATCTGGCCTTGGGTGCTCACTCTGCAGGGAAGTCAACCTGGGCCCAAAGACATTGCCTATGGGCATAGTGCAAAGGATAAGCCCAGGGAGGGATGGGACCCACGCGAGGGCAGGAAGGCACCACACACTATACCTGTCCTACCTCCCTAAGGCTCAGGCCGGGTGGCAGGTGGACCTGTGGGGGTTTCTCCACAGAGAGTGTGGCATTGTCCACCCCCGCTCCGCTGCCCTGCACCTAGAATATTAAAACCTCAGGTGGCTTGGAGCTTGTTAATACATTTTTTAAAGGAGTGGGGGAACCTGGAGATTTCTAGACAGCAAATGAAAGCAGAACTTTGTCAATGACTTCTGAAAATGAAGCTCTTGCCTCATCCAAGGCCTGTTTGGGGGTGAGGGGTGGGGGAGGAAGTAAGAGTAGTGTTATTTCAAAAGATCTGGCTTTATTAATACGTTTGGAAAAAAGCTCCCTTGGTAGTATGTGTTCTCACAGCGCCGACTAGAACCCTATAAAACATTCATGCTCCGAAAGCTGCAAGAGAGCAGCCCCCCGCGCACACCCAAAGAGAGGCCTCAGCAGCAGGTTTCTGCCCTGGAAGGGCCACTAGAGCCCAAACGGTGCTTCTGGAAAGAACCTGCTCTAGCCTAGCTCACCAACTCCCCAAGTTCCAGGTCCACGCCCATAAGTGCGGGGTGGGGGTGGGGCTTTCCCTTCACCCAACTGAGCTTGAGAGCCCTCCCGGGAACCCCTGTCACAGGGTCAGGAGTGAAAGGTAAACCCTAGCCAGCTCTGCCGCAGACCATAAGGGGAAGTAAAGTAGGTTTGGCAGTGTTGAGGCCCTAACTCTCTCCCAGAGCTGGGGAGAAGCCCATCGTCCAGTTACAGGCACAAGAGGCTTCTGAGCAGCCCTCCCCTGCCCTCGACCCCCACATCAGCTCTCCATGCCTCTCTGCAGCCTCTCCAGCCAGGCAAGTCCCCACCCTGCAGTCACTGAAGCAGGTGGTCCCCAGACTCGACCCCCACTTACAACCAAGCCCACCCCAGCTACCCGCTTTAAGTCCATGCAGGGCACCAACCATCCACAAGGTCTTAAGAGCTGCTGGGAGCAAACAAGGTGTGCTGCCCTCTCCCTGCCCACCCCAGCCCACACAGAGCCTGACCCTCTGCATTTACAAAACCAAGGCAGTGGCTTGGTTTTGGGAATTAAGTCTAGACAACTTAGTAATGGACCTTAAAAGTTTCCACCCTCACCTCCCCAATTCTAATAATAATTGGAGTGGAAATTAATTGGAGGGTTCTCTTGCACTTAATGACATCTGTCAAGTAACCAGACACGTGGGTTTTGCTAAATTCTTTTATTTTTTTGTTTAAATTTTCACTTCAATTTTAATTCTTGAAGAACAGCCTTGACAACATATATCGCACTCATTATAAGAAGCAAAGGGTTATATCAAAAATTATTAGTATAGAATCACAGGAAATCTGGTTTGGAACCAGAAAAAAATACAAAACAGATATAGATACATAGACACAGGACAATTTTTTTATAATTATTTGGAAAATGTTATTTTCCCCTAATTCTTGTTTCCTTTTTTATGTGCATACGATGTTTAAATTTTACAAAAAAATGAAAATAAAGACTAGTATTTTACAAAATGAATAACAATGTTTGGGGTGTGTGTGTGTGTGTGTGTGTGTGTGTGTGTGTGTTTCTACATAGAATTCAGTCCACTTCCATGTGTGTTGTTTTCTGTACAGAATATATCCACATCCGTCCACAATAAATCCTGGAAGGTCCATTAGTCTCCTTCTGTTTTATTAAAATTCTCATGGTCCTCTCTTCCAATTTTTTTTTTTTCCTTTTCTCACCAGACACAAGGTCCTTTTTCTTTCCTTTCCAACATGTTCACAGATCTGATCCTAAAGAGAGTCTCTTTTTCTCCTGGTTTGCAGCTCGGGTTGCATTTCTGCAAGGTGGGCTGCTCCTGTTGGCCCGGCCCACCTCCCCCTGCCCAGCTGTACCCCGCAACAGCCGCCTGATGTCCCCGCAGCTTTGGAGTCCATGGCCCCCCGCCGGTCCTCTGAGTCTCTAGGGGGGCAGGGGCAGGTAGGAAGCGCCCAAGGTCTAGGAGCACTGGATGGACATGTAAGGCCAGTTGAAGCTGCTCCCAGACAGTAACATATCCCGGATGAGAGTTTCGATGGGGGTTTTACCTACCAAACGGACGAAGAAGAGCTGCTCGATGACCGAGGAGGACACGGTACGCAGGGAGGGCAGTCGCAGTAGGAGTTTGCCGAAGCGGCTGGGCTGGTTAGGGTACTGGCTCCTCACATACTCCTCCAGTGCGCACTGGGACTTCTCCTGCAGGCTCTCGATGTGGGCGGCATCCGACAGGCCGCACGCATCTGCCCGTGCGGCCACAGGAAGGACAGAAAAGGGGATGGGACACACAGGTTAGTGAACAGCAAAGGCACGAGCAAGCCATGAGAAATGTGCTTAAGTTGATAAGAGGGGGAAAACAAAATAGAAGGGAAAAGGGGGGAAAAATCCTCCTCTCCATTCCTCCCCAATCCTTCTTTACCATTCCCTCCCCTCAGCCCCCAACACAAATAAAAATAAATCACACCCCCACCAAGCCTAGGGGAGCTGGAGACGGAAGCACACACATGCAGAGGCAGCAACCTCTCTAGTCCCTTTGTTTTTCCTCTTTCACCTTTGGATTAAATAATGTACGATGCTGGAGCCATGTTTGCTGTGCGAAGCAACCTGTCCTCCGCCTGCAGGGGAGCATCTTTCCGCTGTGCTCATTAAAGGGAGGACTTTTGCCCCTGATTTCGGGGTGTTCAGAAGCCCTGAAGAAATACGTAGCCTGGGGACAGTACTTGCAGGCTTCCTGGAGTCCTCCCTCTCAAACCCAAATGACCCCAACAAAAATCCTCAAGGAGAACCTAGACTGTCTGGTTAACAAACACCTGGGAGGGGTAAGGAATCGTGGGCTGGCAGTGTGTGGACTCAGATCGAGCCCAGGCTTCAGCAATACAGGATTTGAGATCCACGATCTATGCAGGCAAGAACTCTGCAGCAAATCCTCAGTGAGGGTGTATACTTCTAATCTGTGCTTCAGATCAAGTAATTGAAAATTGGTCACATCTCTGTAAGCTGTATAATAATCAGAAGGAATATGGCTCAGTTACTCCAGGCTGAGGAAAGGAGACATCTTCAACGATCAGACACAAAGCTGGGCTGCAGACAGCTGCTGTTACAGCTTCCAAACTGGGAGTTGGGGAGGCGAAGGGGGGGGGGATTTGGGGAAATAGGCTTCCTGTTGCAGGACCAAGGGGAAAAAGGCACTTACACACAATGACAGCATCTTAAAACCTGTGTGTTTATCTTGTATCAACCAAGGCTCCTCACGGTCTCCTAAAAATATTTCAAGACAGCAGTTTATACTCTATCAACTAACTAAAGGCAAAGAAATGGAAAAGAAGGTGGAATCAGAGGAATGAAGTGAAAACTTCCTCTCTTAGTTCAAACGCCTGTGTTTTTTCTTATATTAATAATAAATATTTAAAAAACAGGAAGATCACAGAGGAGCCCTTAGCCAGTCAGGAGGTTGACTAGAGATCAAAGGCAGAGTTTGCTAATATATAGATCTGGGAAGAAATTCGTGCATGGCAATGCCCCCAACAGGACGTTATATAATTGTGAATGGGCAAGTGTGACCCTAAGAAGTCACACCAAACGATTCAAAGTGAAACCCGTGTCTGCTGAGTTTCTGAGGTTTAGGTCTTTATATTTCAAGAACTGGGATTTACAAAGCATTCTGACACCTTCATCTACAAGGCAACGGCCTTGAGCAAAAATACAAATAAAACTAGTGCTAATTCAAGAACTTCTAAGGTGGGTCTCCTTTGACCCTGGATCCAGAATGGGTTCCTCTCAGATGTCTAATTACTCCTGCCAGCCACTCTGGTGCATCCACACTGTCCTGATCTGGAAAGCCAGTGAGAGGCTAGCAGGGTGAGGGCAGGAGCACTCTGGGGCTTCACTGCTTAGAGAGGGGGGCCCTGAGGTCTGCCCTTGGCCATGCTGGCTAACCTGGCCCTGCTGAGTGGCCACCATGCAGACTCATATTTACATATATCTTGCTTTACATGCATTATCTGCCCATTATGCCACAGGATCCCTTTCAGCGTCAGACAATGCAGTATGAAAAGGACCCACGGATACCCCAGCAGACTTTTTTAAAGACCCATATGGCATCCCCTCAGGTCCGTAAAATATTTATCTGATATTTACAATTAGGGCCCCCAGAGCACAAGGACACTACCCTTCTCCCAGCTAGGCCACTCCAAGGGAGAGAAGCAGGGGAAGGGCTTGCTTGGGCCCTGTGCTGGCTGCTTGGATTTCTTTCCTCCTTTGAAGGCAGAATGCCTGTAGCGGGGCTTGGCTGCCAGGTGTCAGCCGGCCAGCTCCGTGGCCTCCCTCCAGCAGGAGTCCCACTTCAGGCCTGGATTCCCACTCTAGATATTCATCCCCACTCTGGATATTCCTGCAACAGGAGTCTCCCAACTGTGGACAGTTAGTATGAGCTCTCAGATCGATTAGGTGGCTGTGGAAGCAAGGCGAGGTGAGCAAGGGGTGTAATGCAGTACATATTTACATTCCATGAGATAGACCCGAGGTCAGACAAGGAGGTAGAATATACAGAATCCATGCCTCACTTTTTATGTGGTAGTGTCAATGTGGGAACCCTCAATATTTCTCCTATAGTATATGGAAAAGAAATTATGTAAATAAATAACCATTACTGCTCAGGCCCTCCCGGCGTAGCCTTTGTAGTGCAGAGAATGTATTTCATGGTGTGCATTCAAAAGAGTTTAGTGTTCAGGAAATATAGATGTAATCAGCTGCCATAACTAGAAATCAAAGTTATTATTGTGCTGAAAATGGATTTATTGTATTTATGTTAACTAGATGGCTCTTTTCAGAGGAGGTCCCATTTATTTGAGGGAATATTTAGGTGTATGAATTAATGAATTTTTTAAAAAAGTAAGTTCAGGTCATGACCTAGTCCTTGGATGCTGTCCAGAATATTAAGGATTAAGCATACCATCCGGAGGCCAAATGTGAAAACCACCACAGGGAACCCCCGTGCCAGCTTCAAATACTTAGCCAGAGCAAACGTCGTTGGACAATATGTCTAAAACTGTCTTTTCCATCATTCAAAGTTTGCTTAAAAGTTGGATGACTTTGAGAAGGCTTCCCATGAATTCCCTTCTGGCTAGCAATCAAAACACGTTTAGTCAAAAGTGGAAATGTGTTGTAGGGAGGAGGGGGGTGAATTTACTACTGACAGCTCCATTTCCATGTTCAGATATTCTGTTTGCAATTTTTCAACAAAATAATGTTAGTGTTCACTTCTCAGCCTCCCCTGCACCTTGAAGACATGGTTCCGAAACTTCTTCGGGAAAACTTTTAAAAAAGGAACACTTTTCACGGGGATGTTTTAGGATGGAAAGTTGAAAGAAAAGCATGAATAATTCCACAATCTTCCCTGCGGCCAGCACCGTCCTCGCCTCTCTCTGGGAAAGGGCAGGAGATCAGAAAAGTCCAGGGAGTTCAAAGAACCTTAGTAGGGGACAAGGAAAAGGGAGCAAAGACCTTTCCTGAGAAGACCTCTGTCCAGCTCCAAGTCACATTTCTGCTTCAAGACACCTCACTGGATGAGATTTTAAAACCCCTGCCTCCCCGACACTGGCTTGCTTCCTGATTAATTTGGCTAAAGAGCCGGGGAGTAGAGAGCCAGCCAGGCCCCAGGCCTGCCAGAGCTAAAGCAGCCCCGTCGCTGCTTCCCAGGCTCTTTGTCACTTTTGAAAAACACGTTTCCATCAAGAAGACTTATTAAGATAAAATGCATTCAAACACTGAGGAGGCTATTCAATAAATCTTCCATTTGTTTTAAGGTTTGCACTTTATCCTCTTGCAAAGAATAACTCCCTCTCCCACTAGCAGACCTGCATTTGCACTGAAAGTAAAAGGGGGGCAGTCCAAGTCCACGGCTCTGGCCACCCTGCATACAAATGAGATGCTCTTGTCTAAATAAATTATCTGCTGCTCAGATCGATATTAATACTACATTTGCTACGTTACAATATTGTGCAAATTTAAGAGGCATTTTAATACAATGTAAATACGATTCTTCACGCATGAAAGCCAGGAAATATTGATAGATTATACCATTGCTTACTGTTCAACAAGGCCTTGGGAAAGGGGTTTTGCCATCTCTGCTCAGGAATGGTTTTAATTTGGCCTTTGGAGGTCCTGGCTCTAGGATAGATTTATTAGGATGGTTTATTTGTTCTCTGAATGGAGGAATTAAAAACAATAGTGCCAATAATGGGAGTAAAACTGCAGCTAACCCTATTCACAGTGGGCAGGGCCCGGGACCCAATCTGAGCAGCTCTGTTCCCCACCAGCCTCCTTTCTGGCTTTGTTTATATTTCCCCCCATTACCTGCTGTCCCGGGTGTTTATATGTTTCCCTCTTGCAGGTTACAATAATAAAAAGCGGGCAGTGTTCTCAGAGGCTCTGACTAGAGCCTTCAAAGGCAACGTTAATGCACTTTCCTGGAAGTTAATTTGAACCATCTATCATAAGAGAAATTGTTAACATGCATGTTACCACCACCTACATTTAATTTGATATTTTTAAGACACTCTGTTAAATTTCCAATGTTCGTGTGTTCTGCATGGCTGTGAGATTTATCTCTGGGGTGGGAATCCTCCCATACTTGCGGGTTCTACAGTATTCCTTTTGTTTTTTATCTTTCTTGTTTAGATTGAATCCGTTTTTTACAACCCTCAATAACCTCAACAACTGCAAACATGAATGGTTTCCGATAAGGGAAAATCAGGCAGCAATAAAGCGGGATTATTTATGATTTATTTGCGCGTATTCTTCTCTTTCCACCTCTGTGTGTGTCGCTCTGTGTCGGGAAACTCATCCAGGGAGCGTGCCACACAGAGGAGAAAGCCACATTCCCACGTTCTCTTCCTTCCCTCTCCTCCCCCAGAAACACTAAACGCTGGCGCACACACACGCACACACATACACACCGCACACACACGCGCAGCCAGACAGTTCCAACGCCCCCCCACCCCCTTGCACACACGCACACACACACACACACACAGGACGCGCGCCCGCCGCGGGCGCGGCCCCGCGTGGGGTCCAGGCCCCCGAGCCAGGCCGCCTGCCGCCCGCCTCGCAGCCGCCTCAGCTCCCGTACCGCCGCGCTCCCAAGATGGCAGCGGCGCGGCGGGCCGCGTCCGGGCGCCGGGGCCGCAAGTCCCCGCCAGGCCCAAGGTCGGGCTCGGGCGGGCCAGGCCGGCGCGGCGACGCGGCGTAGGAGGCCGGGCCGGGCGGAGCGCGGCCTGCTGTCGTCCCCGGCGCGGCCTGCCCTCCCGGCGACCACAGCCTCACCTGACGTGAACAGCACGATGGCTTTGAGGCAGCTGTACTCGGCCGAGTCGACGTGCAGCGCCTTGAGCTTCTCCACCTGCTCCTGGAAGATGCGGATGTGGTCCATGAAGGCCACGACGCGGTCGGCGGACATGGGCGAGGCGTGCAGGCCCGCGGCGGCCAGCAGCGGCGCCACGTGCAGCGGCATGGAGCACTGGGCCGCGTTGAGCACGAACAGCTCGCTCCAGGTGAGGCGCAGCAGGGACACTTGGTCGGTGATCTGCAGATCCGGGAAGAAGGGGATGTTTCGGGCCCACTCGACGGCGCTGAAGAGCAGGCGCGCGGCCAGCTCGCAGATGTTCTCGATGCCCATGATGTTGTTGGGCTGCATGCATTGGCTGCCGTAGCGCGACGTGGGGTAGGGTTCCGCGCGCAGCAGCAGCGAGATGTAGCCGGACAGGTAGCAGTGGCCGTTGAGGGGGTCCCCGTTGGTGAGTGCGTACTGGCCTGGATTGGGTTGGGTTGGAGGCATTCTTCCTCGCTGAACCGCTGACAAAAAGAAAGAGAGAAAAGAGGCAATGTGCATCCAGGGGGCTTGCGAACATCGGCGCGCCGCAGCGCACCCGACACAATGCGGAGGCTCTTCCCACAGCCACACGCGCCCGGCGCATCTTCTCTCGCGCTCGCTCTCACTCACAGCCCACACCGGGAGGAAATCTGGGGTGAGAGCCTCCAGCTCCGCGGCTCAGTATGCCCAGACATCGCCTGCGCCCCTGGCCACCCTAGCCCTGCCAGAACTAGGCCTGATCTCAGGGCCCCCAGCCCGGTATGGCCAAGAAAGTGCCACCCAACCCCCTCCACCACCAAGGTGCAATACACAGGTTAATGAAATCCCACTCACCCCTCCAGAATGAAACAAATCAGAGTAAAACAAAACAAACAAAAAAGAACAGGCGAAACCAGAGGAAGGTTGTGGTTCTAGGCAAATGCCTAGCCGCCTCTTCATTTGCAAGCAAGCAGTGTTTTGCTCAAAATGTTTCCATATTCTCTCAAAATGCTATAGAATTATCCTTAAAATAGATACAAGTTACATAACCACTTACAACTTTTGAATAGAAAACAAGTATCCTGCACCCCTCCCCTACCCCCTCCTCCCCTTCGCCCCACACAAAGTTCACTGTTAAAAGCAACAGAAAATTGAAAAATTTCAAGAAAAAGTTGAACTTACAGTAGCCAAACATTATTGAAAAAAGTGGGAAATATAATTAATGTCTGTCCTGTGAGGTGCCACTGCAACCTGCAGCCAGCTTTTGCCCAGTGAATGCACGAGCTTGCAACTGCAAAAACACTGGATTCATTAACCATCTGAATGCAAAACGTAAGCATGCTTTGAGTTCTTAAAGCTGACCAAAGTTTTTTTTTTTTAATGTGTATGTTTTACTTCAACAGTGCCAGCGTTTTAAATTGCCATGTAAACAAAGACAACTTTAGGAAAAGTTAGGGCTACTGAACTCTCCCCCCAACAAATTAATATAGATATGTCCATGTACACATAGCTGTCTTATTTCAGGTTGTGCACTATTTTCTTAAGTTTGCTTTGATTCTAATTTTAACGCAAACCCCAATGCAATTTAAGCTCTTGAAACATAACAGCTAGAATACTTTTTTCTAATTATAGTTTTGAACTTGGCAGTTATTTTTCAATTAAATGAGAGCACAATTCAGTTTTTTTTTTTTCAGATGCCTACAAAATTTCCCTGGAGCTAGAAATGAAGTCGTCATATTTGCCTGCTCCTTGAGATCTGAAGGAATTCAATTTCTTTTCTTGTGGCATATAAAATATAATTTTAAAGTCAATTACAAGAAGGAGTAATCTGCATTCTGCAAAATTGACTGGTTCGCTAATTTGACTATAAGACATCTTTAATGATTGTCAGGAGATAAACTTTAACTGTAAACGGCTAAATATATTTATAAGAAAAGTGCTGCATCTCTTGCCACATGAACATGAAGCATATCTAAATACAACATCAAAAGTTGTGTTAAAAGAAACCAAACCCATACAACACAGGGATTAAATGAAGTGGAAGCTCATGCCAGCTGCAGTCTATGCATTATAGCCAAATCAGAAGGATCGGTAAATGCCGTTGTAAATTGTAATTTGTATGCAGTATTTAAGCAGAGGGTGGAGTTTGATGAAGAAATAAAACGAGTATCATGCTTTTAAAAAAATGACACAACTATGAAAGGACGGTTCAGTCACAAACTTTCCTTTCAAAGTAGAGGGGTGAAAACAAGGCCACAGCTCTGGAGGAGGCGGCCCCAGCTCGGTGAAGAGGAGAGGGAACCAGTGAACAGGCCAGAAGCCCCCCTTCCCCCCTAATTAGACCTACAAGTGCAATAAATCTCACTCCTCTTTTTCCAAGCTAAGCTTCCAAAAGGGTGATGCAGCAATGAATCTATGGTTCAGGGTACTCCAGTCCCCAGCCCTCCCCAATTTTAAATAAAGGGTATGAAGAGGTGGAGGGGAAAGTGGAATGAAAAACACAGAAGAGTTTTCTGGGGGAAATCAGCACCCCTCCCCAAGTTCATGCCAGCACAGCCCCCAAGCATCCTCACGCACACGCGGGAAAGAGACACACACCAAGCATATCCAAGACAGAGGAAGTGAGGGATTTTAAGCCACAGCTCACGATCCCAGGGACACAATCCTGAGCAGGCAGCAGGAGGGGTGGAGGAGCCAGGGAGAGGAGCGCAGGCCGGGAGGGGGAGGCAGCGGCAGCGAGCTTGGTTGGGGAGGGGGGGTGACGCCAGGGGAGGAAGGCAGCGGGGACAGGGAAGCTGGGACAGGGCCGGGACCGCAGGAGCTCCAGCCCCATACAGCAGCCACCCCCGCGAGAGAAAGAAAGAGGGCCGGGGAGGCGGGCGAAGCTCAGGGAAAGAAGCAGAGAAGAAATATTCACCTTCCCGCCTCATGCCCACTTTGAGGCACTTCTTGAGGCGGCAGTATTGGCACTGGTTGCGGTGGTGCTGGTCGATGGGACAGTTCCTGTTGGCACGGCATGTGTAAGTTAAGTTCCTGCGGACGCTCCTCTTGAAGAAACTTTTGCAGCCCTCGCAGGTGAATTGGCCGTAGTGCTTGCCGCTCGACTTGTCCCCGCACACCACGCACTCGATGTGCTGCTGGCTCTGGCCCGAGCCAGGCGGGCCCTGGCCCTTGTCCCCTGCCGTGCCGGGGGTGGCGGGCGCTCCGGGCTGGCCCGGGGTCTGCGGCGTGTGCGGCGCGCCCGAGCCCGCCTGCTGCTGCTGCTCGCCGCCGCCGCCGCCGCCGCCGCGGGCCGCTTGCGCTGCGGGGTTGGGGCCGCCGGGGTTGCCCCCGGCCACGTCGTCCTGCGGATCTCGCCAGCTGCTAACTACCATTGCCATATCTTTGGGCCCGGGGAGCGCTGGGGGGAGCCGAGCTGCTCGCCGAGGGCCGCGGGGCGCGCGGACGCGCTGGGAGGGGAAGGGGAAGGGGAAGGGGGGAGGGGGAGGGGGCGGGGGGCCCGCCGGGCGCCCCGGGGTCGCGGGAGCCGAGCCCGAGCCGGGCACCGGCCGCTGCCTCCGCCGCCGCCGCCGCTGCCGCCGCTACTGCCTCGGCCGCCCCGCTGCTGCTGCGCGCCCGCCCGCCCTGCTGGCGTTTTGTTGTGGTTCCTGCTGTTTTCTTTCTCTCTTTTTGCAGCCCCCCCAGGCTCTCTGGCTCCCCCCCCAACACCCCCGGCCCCCCCCGCCCGCTCCCCCCCGGCTCCGCTCCCGGGGGGGCCCCCCCCTCCCCCCCCCCCCCCCCCCCCCCCCCCCACCGAGCAAGCTCCCTTCTCTCGCTTTTTTCTTCTTCCCCAAGTTGCAAAATCAGAAATGGCACAGGCGGCAGCCGGGAGCGGCGCGGGGCGCAGCGCCGGGGGCGGCGGGCATGGGCCACGGCGCGCGCACACAGTCGCCCTCCGCCTCGCCCGCACCCCCGCGCACACACACACTCTCACACACACTCGCTCACCCGCGCCGGGCGCCCGCCCGCCCGCCGGCCGCTCCGGCTACACGCTGCGCGCCGGCTGAGCCGACATAGAGGAAGCCGGCGAGGGCGGCGGCGGAGGCGGAGGAGGCGGAGGCGGAGGAGGAGGAGGTCGCGGCTGCAGGCGCCGCTGGAGTCGCCGCCTCAGCTGCAGCGGCGAGCGCCGCTGGAGGAGCCGGGGCCCGGGCGGGAGTCCGAGCTGGAGTCGGGGCCGCAGCCGGAGCGCGAGCCCGTGTCGGGGCCGCCCGCGCCGCCGCCGCTGTCCCGGCGGGAGCCCTCGCTGGGCTCGGGATTGAGGGGAGCGCGGTGAGCCGAGCAGGGCGCGGGGCGAGGCTGCCGGCGGTGATCAGGGCGCGTTGGTGTCGGGGGGCCAGGTCCAGGGCTGGACGCAGCCAGCCATTCAGGAAGGCAGCGCTGGAGAGAGGGAGGCAGCCGGCGAGGAGGATCACACACTTTGCTCTTTTTGTTGTGCCGGTGGCGCCGGGCTCTCGCTGCCTTCTTCTTTCGGGAGGTGACGGAGAGGGAGAAAAATACGAGATAATTCACGCCGGCGACGAATTCACAGCGAAATCGAAAAAATAAAAATCAGAAGAAAAAGAATTGCAATTAAAAAAAAAGCGAGAGACATCCAAAGTAGGTCGAATAAATAATCCTCTTCTTTTCCTCTTTCTTGCTCCTTCTTCTGCTTCTTCTGCTATAACACACAGAGCTAGTTAAAAAAACCCTGGAGATCGCCCAAAAATGTTCTTTTTTTAGTATTTTAAATAAGTGCTCTTCAGCCGGGAACCAACACCCTCCCTCCAAAAAAAATCATATATGTATAAAATAACGATAAGAAGAATACGAAGGGGGTGCCTCCTCCTCCTTTTTTTTTTTTTTTTTTTAAGTTTAGCCCTCTCTCTTCTGCAGGAATGGAGTAAAAGACAAGGAGGAGGGAGAAAAAGAGAAAGAAGAGGAATACAAGGGAAACAACTAATAGAATATGTAAGAAAAGAAAAGGGAGAGAGGAGAGAAGGGAAGAGAAGAGAGAGAAAGAGATTGAGAGAGAGAGGCGGAGGAGGAGAAGAGAGAGAGAAGAGAGAGAGAAGAGAGAGAGAGAGAGAGAGACCCCAAAATTGAATGCGTTTAAACGGGAGGACTCGCAGAGCAATGTTTCCGAAAGGGGGATCTGCGCGAATGTCTGTATATAGTGAACTTTGACACTACTATTGAAACTGACACGTTTCTATGGAGATCGCTGCCTTATATGGAGCTCGTGTCAAGGAGCCAAGAGAAGGGCTGCTGGCAACTGATAATCAAAGGCGACTGACTGGTCAGAGCCCTGAATCGGGGGGGAGAGAAAATGGGAGTCTAAGGTTAGCCAAGCCTCCAGCACGCCATTGGTTGGAGAGCCCCTCCCCCCTCCTCTTTTTCTTTCTTTCTTCCCCCCCCCCTTAGCTACCTACTGACGGGGATGGTGAGGGGAGGAGGAGGGAAAGTGAGGGAGGGGGGTGTGCTTCTGACAAGCGCAATTTACATTGAGATCGCCCTGCGCTGCTATTTACTCTGAGACCTGATTAGTATGGGTCGTCTATGGTCACACACACACACACACACACACACACACGCACACGAACACTAGAGGGGGAAGGGATGGCGAGGGGGAGAATGCCTTGTAATGGTTAAAAGAGAATTAGAAGGAAATTATTTTGATTTCTTCTGAAAAGTTTTTAAAATTAGGTTTTATGAACATGAACAGAGTGTCGTTGAAAATGTTAGGAAAAATTTTTAATGAGAATTAAACTCACCATTTTAATGATTCATGAAATATGCTGGGTTTGAATTGTTTTCTTCGTTCACATATAAGCATAATCCAAGTGTGGATTCTGCTCTTTTTAGATCCTTTTAGGAAACAAGGTAGGGACTCCCTATTTTTTGGCCCAAAGTATACATTGGTTTTAAAGGTTTAATTATGACAAAACACACTCCTGGAATATGCAGCTATTGCCACAAAATCAATCTGAATCAACGGCTCCTATTCTTCCCATGATGATTTTAAAAATAAACTTTACAATCAATCCGATTTTTCCTTCTTTCTTTTTTCCTCTTTGGTAGTCTCAAGCTGTTCCAAACTTTAAACAACGCTTAAATAATTATTAATAAAACAGTAGTAAGTCCTCATGGGGGGGGGTAGTGCGGTCAAGTCAGAGTCCCAGGAAAGAGGAAAGGGGCGAGCGACTGACAAGGGAAAAAGGGAGATGGGGAGAGGTGGGGAGAGGAGGGTGGGGGAGAGAGGCAGGGGAGAGGGAGGAGAGCTGGAGAGAGGGAGGTAGGGAGGCAGAGGGAAAGAAAAAGAGGGAGAGAGAGAGAAAGAAGGAGAAGAAGAGGGAGAGATTGAGAGAAAGAGGGAGAGAGGGAGAGAGAGTGAGAGAGCCGGGGAGAAAGAGGGAGAGTGGGGAGGGAGGGAGAGAGGGAGGGGGGAAAAAGGGAGAGAGAGAGAGGGAAAAAGGAAGGGAGGGAGGAGGGAGGGGGAGAGAGGGAGAGAGAGAGAGAGATGGAGAGCTGGAGAGAGGGAGAGGGAGACGGGGAGAAGGAGAGAGGGA